CGGAATTCGTGAGCAGTCTCACTTTGCCTTGATGAGGCGGATGACTTCATCATCGCCCCATACGAAATAAAGATCAGAGTTAATTATTCGTTTACCAGTCTAACTGCGATAATGACAGCATTTGAGCGCATTCTCGGTTTTTCATACTCTCAGCACCGCACTGCAGTTTCGTCTTTGTTTAAATTCTTCAATTTGAGCCATGCGACGCGTATCGGTTGATGGTTGATACCTTGATCGTTGGATTTCACGAGCTGGCTGAACATAAGTTGACTATTTCAGTACCACAGGTTAGGCACAGTTGCATTGCACTGGTGTTTCCTCAACATCCATTCACTAAGTGCGTTACTGGATTTAGCAATCTGCTGCATGAGCACAAGTTTGCATCTTTGAAGAATCCTGTAAATGGTATCACTGACTACAACCTAACCTGGTGATGGTTTACCTGATCCTGTACAATCCAACTAATGTACTATTGTTTACTGGATTTCAGCAGTCTCCTCAACCTGAGTCTACGGTTCCTGTAACCTACGGAGCAGAGCAAATGCTTGGAAGGCCACAGAAATTAATTTATGTTCACGTATGTCATCGCTGGGATGCACTCCCCGAATCAGTCGCTTCTGTACCAGCAGTAGTCGTATTTGAAATGCAGCTGCATGGTACGCTCAGTCATCCGTAATTTGCCCCTTAGCTGGCACTTATTTGTGCTGTAAAAAACGCTTCACCACTGAGTAACTGCTCCACTTACACCTAAAAGACGGTCGGCGCTTTAACCGAAATAGAGACCCCTTCCTTTTTGTCGCTATTAACACCCTTCAACTCATTAAACAGGAGTTGTAAAGTCAAATGCTTCATGTATAATGAGTCATTCTTCAATAGCAAGATCCACGTTCCATTCCTTGCTTGTTCTAGAGATAGTACCGAAACCTCTTAGCCTTTACAGGTCCCTCTGTCGTCTTCTCATTTCTCCTACTCGTTTCTGCGGAACTTGCAGCGACAGCAGTCCCTGTGAAGTATACTGTTGCCTTTATTATCTGCTTCAAACTGTAAAACTTGTTCATCGATCACGCAGTCACTTTGGGCATTAAACCAGTGTTTGTGTAAGGTGATCGCAGCTGTTCAAATGTCCACTTCTGTGACTACCGTGTCAGACAATACTGTGAACCCCCAAAATATGAGGGAGCAGATAAAACTTAATTCTCAGTTGGCTCATTCGGTATATGCTTAGTGGCCACTGTATACCGCCCACTATTGTCCACTTTAGAAATGGACTGGGCCCTAGCTTCCGCTATGAAGAGGCTACTGGCACGATCTTGCAGCCATGTTCTTTTTGTAGGGAACTTCAATCTGCACGGCCTAGAAACCCCGGCCACTCCGGGTAAACAATTCAACGCGGAACTGCAAGCACTAATCGCAGGTTCTCCGCTGTACAACCAGGACACTTCTCCAACCGGTTTCATGACTGGGGTAAAAGCCGACCAACTGGGACCTCGATTTTCCAACGAGGAACTCATGAGCGAGGTAGTAACAACGTGCACTTCTTTGGGCTGCAGCGATCATGCAACATTAGTGTTCCATTACATGTGCTACGCGGAATATCTTGAAGGCCATGCCGAGGAATCTCACTTCGTAACCAACTATGATGACCTGTACTAACTCATTGGTGCGAGGAGCTGGCTTTTCCTAACTGAATGGTCCGCTGAAGTGGCCTGCGGGGAATTTGTCAAAAGATTAAACTGGCTCGTGGCAAGCGCATCTGAAACCAAAATTCATCGACCCAAAATGATGGTGTCGTTCCTAAGCAGCAAGACCCGGAAATGCATGGCATTGGGGGGCTTGGCATGGCTCACTTACATAGCCTCTCAGATCGAGGACACCTGGAATGTCTACACAACGCAGGAACCACTGTGTCAAACTCGTCCGGGACGATAAAGTAAAGAACCACAAGACCGTGTGGTAAAATTTTGCTCTAACACAAAGCTGCTATACAGACACATAAACAAACTTCGCCGCGTCAAGCGCGGAATTCCGGCTATGCACACAGCATGCGGGTTAGTACAAAGGGCACAATGGGCGACCAATCTTCTTGGACAACAATTTGGTGGTAGATTCCACAGTGTGCAATCATCCTACACATTGCCTACGCAGCTCGTGCCGCTATCAGGCCTTAACCCCATATCTTTCACAACCGCAGCTGTATTGAAGCGGTTGATGTCCTTGCGCGAATACAGCTCCCCGGATGCAGTCGGCATTCTCCCAGAGGCGTTCAAAGTTGATGCTATGAGTTTAACTGTACCGTTAGCAGTACTGTTTCAGCGATGTCTTAACGAGATGCACTTCCCCACTATGTGGAAACACGGTACCATAACTCCAATCTACAATAGTGGTAGCCGTGCTAAACCAGGAAATCATTGATCGATAAAACTTCTTCCGCTGATCTCCAAGATCAGAGAGTCCATTGTAGCTGAGGCACTCATGGACTACCTGGAGAGTAAGCAAATTTTTGTTCAGAGGCAACACAGATTTCGCCAAAATTGGTCCTGTGCTACCTATCTGTTGATAGCGCGTGCAAGCTGGTCTATAACTGAGGACACTGGTGTAATAATAGGTTCAGCCTACCTGGACTTCTCAAAGGCATTCGAGCGCCTGGGCCATCGCATCCTATTGCACAAACTCCAGCATTATGGTATCGGCGATCCCGTTCTGAGCTGGATAAGCAACTTTCTTGTTCAACGTCACTTGAATGCGATGGTTCGCAGCGCCCTATCGGAATCAATCGAAGTTTACTGCGATGAAATTCAGGGCTCGGTACTCGGCCCCACTTGCTCCTGGTCTTCATAAATGATCTTGAAAGCATGTCTACTATCTGCGGATGATCTAAAGATATGACATACTATCGCTTCAGTGGAGAATCACACAGGCCTACAGGATTATCTGAACAAAGCGTACACATGGTCCATCTAGATCATACTGCAGTTCAGCGCCACCAAGTGCAAAGTTCTGAGGATAAGCCATCAGAGTACGCACAACCACTGTATAGGGCCAGAACTTCTACGTTTGGCTTTTTTATGAGTGCGATCTTGTCGTGCTCGTACCGGAGAACCTTGGATATTTGAGGCAGACTGAAAAGATATCAAAGAAAGAAACCAGCACTTCGGTCCTCTTCATAGAGCTTTCGGGAATTTCGACACCCTAAGCTTTCCGAAAATGCTTGGTGCGTACGTGAGGCCACACACAGTATACGCTATTCAAGCGTAGCAAATCTGGCAGGAACACCACCTCTCCGCGCTCGATACTGCACAACGCAGGGCGACAAAGAACCTCCGAGGTTTGATTCGCCTTCCCTACCCACTCCGGCGGAAAACTCCCAAAATATACAGCGGACCTTATCGGCATGTAAGGGGTGATCTCATGGTGGTGTGTCATATCGTAAAAATAAACCCAACCACCCATGCCACTCTCTTTTGAAACTAAGTCAAAACACGGCTCTAAGCTGACCACACAGTGCGGCCGACTGGAATGTCGAGGAATCTTTTTCTCTCTCCGAGTTTCACAGAACTCCTGGCGCATCTAATTAATGCCACTGCCTTATCCGTTTTCAGGAAACGCCTTGATGATGCGCTGATACATTTACACTACGTGATATAACCCGTGACCATCAGATGATGGTATTAGTGCACAACCAACAATGGACGGTGTCATAACTATCCTAAACTCCTGGCAGGAATACTCGCACATGTGTACTTCAAAAACCCCTTGGTGAGTCATGTATCTTACACGTTCTTTTACTGACACCGTATCTTTTAGATTCGTAATCTTCACCCTAATCATCCTACGGGACATGTCAAGCATTCGCTTCTATGCCCGTCATGAACCATTGCTCCAAATAGTACTTGGACATGGTAGGATGAGCATTGAAGTCAGTTGTAAGTAGATGTACATGTTAGCGTTCGCTTGTTGTGATTGGTTTAGTTTGTCGGCCCAAGCGGATCTCGGGTTCAATTGAAAGGATCCAGTCTATTAGGAATGTCCCCAATATGCTAGCGGTTCTAGTGCATGTTAAATGGCTGCTCCGATCAAAGAATGCTGTAACAAAACGCTGCTTTTTGACAGATAAAAAGCATAGGCGTAACATGTCCCGTAGGCTAATGGTAGAAGGGATTGCGAGCTCGATGATTACGCATGCGGACAAAATAAACCGTGAGTCGACGAAGCGACAGGGTAGCGGTATAGTCTAAATAGGGTTGGGTGAATGAGATGGCACCATGAAAGTGAAATAATGTGTCAATATCATTAATGTGTAATATAGTGTTCTTGGATTGCTCACTCGCTCATACTGACTTACCTGCGTCAGTGTGGATTATAGTTCATAGTATTTCGTCTCTAGACGACATACATTTTATACAACTTCCTTGTCACGCCAGTTGCTTGCACCGTGGATTTAAGGGCGGTAATCCACGAGCGCAAATCGCAATAACACCTGGATGTATATGGATGGGAAATACAGGCCGATACCACCGCTTTGATGAGAAGCGTACCCGCAATTCAGTTTGTTAAGTAGAACACATGGTGACGAGTTGTATTCGTTGCAACCTAGACAAGATGCAGTTCTTTTACCGGTTTACGCTTTCCTTCTGAGCTCGTGCGCAAATACGGTTGAACATATGCTAGTGGTTTACCCAAACCCAAGGTTTATGCACAGTGTGAGTTGGGCACTAATCTCCGTACTATGTTCTGGCAAAAAGCCTGGTCGTGTGCACGAGTCACATAATTCGACTATAAAGGCCTTCCACACTAGAAACTTTTCGGATCCCGGTGAATTCCGCCCGACTCAGCTTTACCAAATTTTCCAGTAGAGCTAAGTGATCTCACGGAATCTGCAGCGGTCTGACGTGACAATCGGAGCGCAACTACTTTGTATTAGCCAATGTTATGTGACCGTACGGTATTTCAGAAGGTACTTTACACCTCCCCTCGGTGTTGCTAAGAGTTAGACCTGGGATAAGAACAACAAAATGGTAATTGTGTACACAGTTGTGGATGGATGTGGTAGATAATTTTGGATCAGTGCACTGGGGTGATTAGGAAGGGAGGTTCCTATTGTGACATGCTGTTTTTTCATTTCTCCGTACACCTAGTTCAGTAGGTCTGTTTGGGTTACAACAATTAGTTGTGGAGACAAAGGGAAATCGAAGCAGTAATGCAGTATATCAAACGATCTCCCTCATCTGTGTCCGTAGACAGTGTTATCGGATATAGTACGTGGTGGGGGACAAAGGCTTCCCAGAACTCGTACACGTATATGGTACCAGATTGCAGTAAATGGTGGAACTTCTAAAAGCGGATATAAGCCATCGACGCGTCCAGATAACCACAATGACGGATTGCTTCCATTGCGTTTCTCTGCCGTTTACTCTACATGCTTATGAAAGACTGATAGCTTTCCAGTTCATACGTCGAACTTTTTTTTCGATTGCTCGTGGTTAACTTTGCAAGGCATCGAATGGCTAGTTGAAGTAATGCTATGTACAGTATGTCGGACTGTGACTCATGTGATTTCATCACCGGCATGCACAGCTTTCGACAACCATGTCTTGATACACACGAAGCACAACATCACCCTTCTGACTGTGATACAACAACGATTGCGATGAGAGTTGGTTCGGCACACAACATGGTCCTGTTGTTCGAGCGACATCGAGTAGATGGACTAGTTGTAATAGTATAGCGTGATTTGTCGTATTGTAGTGAGTGGATAGAGGAAATGGACAGTGGCCACGACAATAACGAGCGTTGTAGGTCCGCGGAGCGATAACCCACCCGGACCATCCAATCGCAGCAAAGTCGATTATCAATTCTCTTCGTTGACAGACCGTTTCTAAATAATTCGGCGAGTTGATTGGCAACTCTGGTTGGTCAAAGTTGGGTTGGCTTTCGTAGGTGTATTGGTCACTTTTTCTCGTGCCCCCTCCATAAATCTCGTCTGAGCCACTGTTTCCACCGTCATTGTCTGCGTAGTACTGATATTGGGACGGCTTCCGAGGCGCATCATTCGCGTTCCAATAACCTCTGCTCTGACGGCTCCGGTGCCGCTGCTGCAATGCTCGCCTCCGTCGTCGAACCTTTTGAGGTGGGCCAGACAGTTTGGAATCGACAACAGATGCAAACATCTTTGGCTGTTCAGCGAACGAGTTTCCGTTACGTAACTGCTTGGAAGAAAAGTAAAAATTTCATCTGTGTTTAACAACGAGGGCATAAAAGTAATTTTATCAGGTGAATGAATTAACTAACCCATTGTAACCAAAGACAGTTGACATTATTCTTCATGTTTTAACGGGTTTTCGAAACAACTTATGTCGCCCCGAAGAACCATGAAACAAATAACATGATCTGCTTTTGATGAAGTACACAGGCTGGCTGAACATAAGATTTAGTAGAATACTGCAGTACGTATGCTACTAATGAAATACTAGTAAAGGAACCCCTGGATGGCAATCGGTTAGGGACGTATGTGACACTACATATGTGCGTTGCTGTGGCAGGAGATTGTGTTATAAGTAGGTTGTCATCGCAGTGATCTATCTTGGGATATGGCTACCGTTCATGCGCATTTCACAACTCGGTTCGTTTGTCACCTTAACTTTGCCGACTTGTAGCACGCTGAAAGATAACTTATCATTTTTGTACTATTTTATCACTGATCGACTATACGTTATGCACTGCTGTTTTACTGTCTGTTACTGTACGATTATTTTTGCCTATATCCGGCTCGCCACACGTCTGGTCGATAAGTTAATGCGCTGTTCGCTTCATCCGTCCCTGTCTTCTTGTAGCCTCACATTAATATTCCACTGTGTTCTATTTCATTTACCTTCTGATACTGCTACTCCATTACATAACCTAGTCAGGTCTGATATTCACTAGTCCTATGTATTTTACTCTCGATTACCAAATGTGCTGACGGATACACTTCATGACTTATTGCCTTTTTCTCTCCATTCCTCGTCGATACAGGATTGCAAACTGCTGTTGCAGCATGGTTTTTATCATTAAAAATCTCTGTTTTGCGACCATCTGTAGCATTCGGCATGGAATTCGAAATCCAACTGTAGTATCACTAGATGCATATTTATGCTCTGTGGCTGCAAATGGCGCTGGGTGCACAAGGATAGAAGGCAATTACTCCTCACTTTCACCCGCGTTTTCCTAGTTCAGGTTCTGCTCTTGTCATAAGCTTCGTTCTACAATCACTGTAATATGCCTCCGGTCTATTGTTACTAGCTCCTCCGTGTCCAACTGACAGCGGATCGAATGGACCGTTAGAGCTATAACACAAAAGAACTAACTTGTGGGCGGTTGGATGTCTAAATGACAACCACCAGGTAAGATGTCGAACTAAGAAAGCAGCTAAAGAAGCATGGAAGAGGGCAGGATAAATAATGCAGGAGATAAACAATTAGGTGAGCGATAAACGGAGGCAAAAACGACAATGTAGGCACCACTGATCCACCTCTTATCTTTTAACGTGCCAGCGGACCAGCCACCTTCATTATCACGCCTCTACCTGCCTACTTTAAACAAGGCTACTGTGTACTACGTGCCCATATATATATATATATATATATATATATATATATATATATATATATATATATACGTTAATTGGACCCATAAACAATTGACAGCGTGCCACAGCACATAGGTAGCAATAAAACGAAGGAGCAAATGCAGTCAGGAAAAGAGAGTCTCACAAATCGTTCGCCAATGAGCACGACTCCGAGTCATGGCCGAGGCGTATTCACTGTCCCTGAACCCCTAACCCGGGTGACTGGATCGTCACTATGGGGCCAACTGCAATGCCAGCGCCTTGACATCTAAGACCCAATCAACGCCGGCGCATGCAAACGAAGTGCGGTAGGGCAACCGTTGAGCAGGCTCACGGAGAACGTGCCCACGACACCGGAGCGCACGTACGGAAATAGTGTAGTTCAATGGTTGGCAGAGTCTGTTTGCATTGAAAATTCGACCTCGAACGTCGTCGTTACTAACGCAATGCTGCCAACGTACACCAGCGACTCGGTTGTAGCTGTCCCTAAAGTTGGCACATTTGATAAGGTGCGAGAGACGGGTCACCAAGAATGGTTGAGCTCAACAAACATGGAAATTAACATGTGGCACGTGGTGCTGTACAGCATGAAATCGCGGAGCCAGTCACCAGCACACTGGCTGAAGAAAGCGAGGGCAGATATCGTAAAAGAGGGCAGGGTTACCTAGGTTCATGTTCATGTTTTGTGTGGGCAGACCGCTTCCTGGTTGCCCAGGCCGAGGAAGAGGGGTGGCTTAGGAGACTTCACCCAGACCTTTAGTTCGTAAAAACCTGACCCACAGGGCAACGGGATGATTAAGTCATCGCACAACGCCGGGAGCTGGTAACATGTCTTTTGCGGCACGCGAACAGCCCTAGTATAGCAACATAGTGGTCAGCGTGTTTATGTTTACCTGTGCAAAAGTGTGTGTGATGAAACTTGGCTCCCATCCACATGCCTCCCTGTCTTATTCTTTCGAGTTTACAATGGATATGGGGTGTGTACTTGGAGCTGTGAGCGGTGCAGCGAAGGCCTCCCGTGGTCCATCTGTAGGCGCAGACGTCCTGTGGCTGTCCCTGTGGAGGCCACAATGGCAGGCAAATCCGAAACCGGATGCCGCCAAACATATATGTTGGTTCCCCAAATACAGCTTGCTTGTATTTGTCTGTGAAAGACTGTGGGCCGGCTCCCTTGATTTAACCTGGCTCCCATTCACATGCCTCCCGGTAAGGGGTAAACAGCTGGATGATTTAAATCAATGAAATTTCTTATAAGATAGAATTGGAGTACAAGCCAGTCAAGCTGACTTGATACGCATCACTAGACATCCAAACTCGAATCATTATGGGAAGTCCCGGCAATTGCGAGTAACATTGGGATCAACAGATGATGACGAAACGGTGCTTTTTCGGCATACCGCCTGCCGACTGAAAACAGTGGAGTACGCATATTTCTGGATGTTCCGGGGAGCGAACACCAGCGGGACAGAAATAATTCAAATGACCACCACACGGACAGCAGCAAAAGAAATATTTTTGTTCATGACGTGCTCGTGCTATCGACAGTTGGCAACAATGAACAATAGCCAATGATTTATCACGGGATAAAAGCAAGTGCTTGACACGTACCTTAGGATGGTTGGGATGAATATGATGAACTCTACATATATCTGGGTCATCTACCGAAGGTCTGCCAAGATGAATACTTTGTTAACTAACATCTGTGTAAATTAAAACAATTTAGAGTAAACGGTACGAAACACACGGGTGCAGTGGTCGTTGATATAAGGCGTGAGAAATGTAAAATATGGTCGCTCACTTGGGTCCATTTGATACATAAATCCTGTAGCAAAGCAGGCTTGGCGTAATCCACAATAGAGGAGTTTAGGTAACAAAAGTGTTGGGAGCTAAGAGCAACATCTACTCGTTTTTGAAAACGTCCAAGGTACAGGAGGATACAACTGAGTCTGGGAGTGCGTTTCAGGGTTGGTAAACCCGAAGGGAAAAGTAAATACGTCGACACTCTAGACGGCTATATTGTAACTTCAATTTCAAGCAGTTACCCCTGGACTGCGTGTTGTCGCTAAGTTTCAGCAAATGGCGGCATATGTGTTTGGGGTCACTCAGTATCTGATACGCTAACATTTATTTAGATGGCTGTGAACTTACTCGGTAGCTGGCAGTTACTACGCAACCCACTTCCTTCGGAACTATGACTGAAGACAAGGGTTAGGGAGCAGCAGCCAGTCGCTGTTCTCGCGGAAAGAATGCCACTCACAACTCAATAAAGCCACGACAGCGATTCAGAGACCTGTGTCCTAAGACCCATAGCTATCGAGAAGGCTGCTGATCGACTACTTACCGCAGGTGCAAGTGAGACAAAAACAGATTGCATTCCTGTCGAGATGTGACCATTCATCTAGAAAACGATTAGCTTCCGGCCTCTCATCGGTCGGCACAAATCCACATCATTCATGTGCTCGTAGTCAACAGCTTCTGACATCCGAGAAACTTTCCTGTATGTACACCAACGCTCAACGCTTACTTAGTTAACTTTCCGAAACGCGGCTGCATCAGGGATCAAAAGCCTGCGACCTCATCGCTATAACGGAGACATGGTTACGTCCTGACATAATTCACATGGAGATCGCACTGCCAGACATACCCATTGTTCGGTACGACCGACCCAACAAAGTTGGAAGGGTGGCTCTGTGTTTCCGCAACGACCTCCAATGGGAGCTCATAAAGGATCCTTTAAGCACGGTACAACATTCCCTTTGGTGCCATCTACGTTTAACAGGTGACGACACTTGCTTAGTGGCGGTCATTTACCGCCCTCCTTCCTCCGCGCTTGAGATGGATTTCTATCTGGCATCCACAATAAGGAGGATGATAAACATAACTTACAGTCACATTACTGGAATCTCAAGCAGCTCTCGGAGAACAGTTTAAGGCCAATCTACAAGAGTTTGCCTCCAGTTACCTGCTGTATGGCCACATCAACGCTCCCACCCGATTCCAAGAAACAGATAAACCGTCAATACCGGGTCGGATCATCACCAATGAAGAACTAATGGTCGAGAGGGTGATCGTTGTGGTCCCCTTGGGTGTCAGTGATCATGTACTCCTACTCTTCGAATACATTTGCAATGCAGAATATACGGTGTAAATTACCGATGCAACAAAACGAGTATACGGTATAACAGCTCGACTAAATGAGACAGACAACTGGACCGTTCTGGCAGACGAGGCAGTAGCTAGTGCATGAGAAGATTTTGTCAGTCAGTTTAACTTTCTGGTTGCCGAAGCATCAGTGACTAAGAGCTTCCTCCCGAGAAAAGTGGTCTTGTTTCTGCGAAGAAGGACACGCAAGTGTATAACGGTGCGAAAATCAGCCTGGCATATCTACAAACTCTTCCCGAACACCGAGAGCTGGAAGGCCCATGCGACCCAACTTAACCACTGTACTCAGCTTGTCTGCGAGGATAGAATGGCATACCAGCAGAAGTTGGCGGTGGGTACGGCTTTAAACCACAAGTTTCAGTAGCAACACGTCAACAGTCTACGTAAGGTAAGACGGGGAAGTCTTCCTCGTGAAACAGCGGACGTACCCCCACGGAC